AAGTGTAAAATTCAACAGTAATTGAATCCTTGGTTCTTAAGGGCAAGCCTCGGATCCAGACGAGTTGAGAGTAAGGCAAAAGAATTAATTGGATTGTTACTGGCTGAGCAATATTTCACCCAGTTTCATGTATTTTGCAGATTAGACTGTTTTCTTGAGCTATTTTGAAAATGATTTGGATTTCATTGTTTTGATGGTAGAGATAGTAAATCGTTATTGATTTAGGAATTTCTGGCCGCAAATAGACAAGTTAGACGTGAACTTGAGGTTTTGTAGCTGTTGTTAGGACATATATTTTCGGCAGGGGTGATAGCGCCCCCAACAGGAGAAGATTGGTCCTTGGGGTGAATAAGTCTTCCTCTCATTCCATGTGGAATGCCGATGTACATATGGTGCCTAAATAGACATACAGTTTGTAAAGGTTGAACACTGTGCCGGGGGACAGCCACCTTGAGTAGTATGGCAGTCTACTCAGATCTTTCTTTAAAAAAAAAAAAAAGGAAGTCTGGCTTTCCAAATCCCAAATGCACTCCGGAGAAATCACAGCTGTGCAGCCCTACCTCACCGCTGCCAGCCTTCGCGCTGCAGCTCAATGCCAGATGGTAGGCAGAGAGGATCCCACCGTTGAGCCTCAGTGACAGGGGGGAAAATTGGACTCGTTTGAAGCAAATAGGACTTCTCAGGCTGTTCAGCTTTTTTGAAGTCCACGAAACTCAGAAATCCTTCAGATGCGCTGTGTTCATGGAAGCTTTCTTTTTTCCCCCAGCGTTACGCATAGATTTAAAAAATGTTTCCATTTGACTTTGAACGTCACTGCACTTGACAGTACAAGAGAAGATTTTGAATTGTTGGAAAGAAGGAATATGTTTTAGGTTCTTCCGCTCTTTTAAAGAATTCACACACCAAGAATTCTCTAGGTGTTCTGGGCACAGTGAGGTTTGAAGTGGTTCACATGTACTGATCACACATGAACTTATTTCTTGGGGCGGAGGAAGAAAGCATGTGAATTTGCATGTGACAGAAGACATGACCTTCTACATGGAAGATGCAGCATCATTTGCTTAGGAATACACTATTAGCAATTTTTATATATATATGTCTGAGTTTCATTTAAAAAGTGAAGCTACACACATTGCGCTTCCGTCTACCCAACCCCCAGCTAAATTAAATGTTTCCGATGTGAAGGGGCGGGAGGTGCCTAGAGTAAACAGAAGTTTCGACATAGATGAGACTGGACCGTGTGAGGGATGAGGAGCTGTACCCTATAGGTTATTAGGCTTTTCCTTTAACCCCTTTTTCTTAAGAGAAAATCTAAGATGGAAGAAGCTTCTTAATGTTCTTCTTGTTTAAAGGAAAATTTAGTATGGAAGCGTATTCGAGATGGTAATGAACACTGGGATATGAATTTATTCTTTTGCTTTCGGGGATAAAAATGTTCCATTTATTATTAGACATTTTCAGGGTCCTTCTCAGTAGTAGGTCTGTGAGCCTGTTCTTCTCTCCATCCTCCTGTCTAGACACAGCCCTGGCTGTTCCTAAATGGATCCCTTCCCCTACAGTCCTCACTTTCTGTCCTTAAACATTGTCCTTGTCTTCGCTTTGACTAGTCTTGCCTCTACCCTAATCATATGAGTCTGTGAATATTTTTTCTGCAACAACCACGCATCGAGCCACTGATATCCTAGACGATTGTACTTAATGCCACTTTAGAGTGAGGCATCCTATTTTCTTTAGGCTTGCCACCTGTATTTAGGAAAGCTGTTTGGGGTCAGCAGTGCATGGACTTTGTGGACTGAGATAATTCTGTTTGAAAATCTCAACTCAAATCTGCACATGCTGTTTAGCTGCTAACTTTCTCAATCTAAGCAGAACACATTTTCTTCTAGAAACAACATCAACCCAGTGCCTGATCTTGGCTCACTAATAGAATCAGATTAACCATCTAGATGTGGGATTTATTGGTGTCTGTTTTCTCCAGCTTTTATTTTACAGTTGGGATAGTCCTGTAAATTTGCACAGGATGTGCACTGCCCAACTCTAGGAAGCTTTACATAGACTCACTTCTGTCTGTGACAGCCCTGAGTCCCATAGTGTTGACATTTTGGGCATTTGGTAATAAATACCTACAATTTCACTGTCCAGTCGTTCACACTGACTGTCTGGCCAGCACTATTTTGGTTTACTTGATAAGCAGTTGCTGTCATGGGGAATCCTGACATCTCCTATGAAGCCAGCCTCCCTAAATCTTTTCAGCATCACTGATGCAGACACATCACTAGAGTGATGAAGGAGTAACTCCAGGTTATGATAGGCTTTCCCAACTCTTTTCTGGCAAAACTGATTTCCTTCTCCTCCTCACTACCTTATAGCCCTGTCCTTCTTCACTGGTGGATGAATGTTGCTGGGGGTTGGAGTCATTCAAACTGTATGTGATACCAAGACCCACTGGAACGTGGGGTACCTCTTAACTTTCATGAGAAGTCCCATGGCCAACAAGACTTTGTAAGCCTGGTGTCACGTGCCTTTTCCTGACATCCACTCTAGAGCGAACTGAATAACAAGAACTGAGTGCATCTTGCATATTTCACTCCAGGAATCGGACCCTCCGTTCCCCTCCCTCTTTTCACATTCTAAGTCCCACACCGAGAAGCCCATTGACGTTGCTAGTCACACGGCCTACTGAGTTCTTGTTCACTTTTCGATCAGGCACAGTCCTTGGCACAAAAGACATTTGAAATGTTTTCTATGAACTTCTTCACTTATGACCCCGTGGCTAAATGGGTTGAATTACTTGCTTCTATACACAGATCTGCTCTACCCCTACTCAGTCACCCTGAATGGTGGTTGAAGCTTTCATATCTCCGTAGCGTATTATTGGTATTCAGGATACAGTAGAACCCTCCCTGTATCTTGTGTCTTCCTTGTGTGACTTTTTTTTTTTATTTTAAAAATCCTGATTTGGACTTGTGGATGAGCCTGTACTGTAGACCCCTACGAGTGCTAGGAAAAACATCAGTAATGCTAAATGTTGAACGAGTTCCATTATGGAACTCCCTTTTGGGAGCAGCTTATAAAAGATAGCTTATGGAGCAAAAATACAGTGTTCGGACACATGAACGCTTCCACGTAGAACCTGATGTGGTAAGATCTGGAACTCCTGGGCACATGTATCGTCACCACAATTGGCTCGAGGTCCTAGAGAAGTCGGGACACACATGAGAGCAACCTTGTTTCTGAGCACATTTCTAAACCCAAGTCTTTCCTACCACTCGAGATTAGCAGTGAGGATGGGAAACTACACGTAATTGGGAATGTGATTGAGATGCATGGAGAGGAGTCCTTTCTTTTTAGGTGGCTTGCATGTGAAGTCCACTTTTGTCTCTCTTGCCACTAGTTCTTATAATCTCTACCAAGACATTAGGACATTATAAAACCAAGACACATTGAGGCCTCCCCGCATGTCGTGAAAGCTGTGACCAATCATCACATCCCAGTTGGTGAAGGATCTCCTTTGCTTCTCATTAGGACTTAACCGTGGTTGACAGTGCATTCACTGAATGTTGAGCCCGTACTATGTCTGGGCACTGGTCTCAGTGCTGGAAATGCAACAGGAAAGAGGACAGTGTTTTGACTTTCATGGAACTTACATTCCAATGGCAGGGAGAGGCAGGCAGTAGCAAATCTAGAATGTGGAGTATCTCAAGGTGGTCCCATGGAGAAAATCAAGCAGGAGGAGGAGACACAGAATGATGGGTGGGAGAGACTTACCGGATCTGATTTCATTTGTGCAGAGCCCTGAAGGAAGTGAGGTGGGTGGGACAACCATTGCGCACTGGCCATGGGGAGGGCCGGGAAATGACTTGGGTGTTTGGGTTGTAGCTCCAGTGGAGGTGGAATTAGAGGCAGGAGCCAGAGCCACAGTTGTTGAGGTTGGAGAAGTAGCCAGGGCAGATCATACAGGATGTGGCTGTGTTCTAGTAAAACTTTATGGATACTGAAATTCGAATTGCTTATCACTTTCATACATCATGAAATAATCCTTATCTTCTCTTCATTTGTTTCAACCATTTAATATTATTAAAAATAATCCTTAGCTCACAAATGACAGTGAAATAGGCTGTAGGCTGGATGTGGCCCGTGGGTCATAGTTTGCCAACCCTGATCTATATCATTACATGATTTTATCCTCTGCAGTCTGTTTACTGGTACCCGACATTTTTAATTGGTGTCTAAGTTTAGTGTTTTGTCATCCTCTGCTAGAAGGAAAGTTTTTTAACAACAGGGACTTTTCTCTTTTTTTCTTTCTCTCCTCCTTTGTTTTTTGTTTTAAGAAGTTGCTTATGCTCTTTGGCATTGTGCATGCACCGCTGCTCCAACTGCAGCCAGAGTTCCTTTGCCCACAT